CCATTTTTACACTTTGCCTTAACTTTAGGTCATTTTAAGGTTTTTAAATTATTTTCATTACATAATACATTAAAATAAAATTATATGCATGTAAAATATATCAAATAAGATTGAATTCAGCTAAAGTACATTCAAAAATTCAAATGTTCTAGAACTTGTACATATCTAACAAGCAAATATTGTATTCCTCTTGTAAGAACAACCTAACATGTCTTAAAGACAGAGAAAGAGCTGTGCCATTCTTCTCTTAGTTTTGTAAAAAAAAAAAAAAACAACATTCCGTTCGCTTCTCAGATATCAAGTAGAGACCTTGAACCAACTCTGCTAACTGTTAAAGACTGTCAGTCTGCTTCGCCCTTCTACATACAATAGAGATTTTCATATGGCTTTTCACTTCAAACACTTGACCTCCGACTCGGACTCAAACCAAGCAGGGAGCTTGAGCTTCTTTTATTATGACATTGAGAGAACTACACAGCAAAAAACCTCTAGAGTCCAAACCATTAGCATGGCTTTGAAAATATGTTTTTATGAGCATGTTCTTTTATCGACCAACACCTGGGAAAAGCCATTTGTTGAATGCAAAGCTCTGTGACCACTATTTAAACTTAATTTCATTTATTTAAATTAATTTCTAAAGAGTTGAGTATGTGATTGAAAATATACATATGCAAGCTTGAACTTAGCTTGCATATATAGCTTTGTGACTAATTTATTCAGCATATATATATATATTTAATAGTGATGCGCGGACGGCGGTTATATCCGCGGGCGCTGCGGATAATCCACAGGTCGGGTGGGTTGGATAATAAAAAAATGCATTCTGATTATTTGCGGGTGGGTCGCGGGTGGATAAGATAAATCATTAATGATGCAAATATTAACTACATTTTGTAAAATATGAACGTGTTTTAAATAGGCTACAGAAATTGAATAAACTGTAAATTAACATATTAAAGTTATTCAACAAAACATTATTTAGTCAAGAGCAGTGAGGGATTGTCTCTGTCTTTTGTTGTTTGATTAACATTAATGACAGACGGCACAGCTTTATAAAGGTCGTTTCACACTGAGCGCGATGCGAAAAAGCGAGGCGAATCGCCGACGAACGTTGCTTTCACACCGAGTGCGAAACGATTGATCGCCTTCTGCTAATTCACGCCTGCACGCTAGGTGGCGCTGACCAGCAATGCATTTTTACTCAGATATGTATCTCATATATGGATTTATACGCACATGGAAGAAAACGGACACTCCAGATCACATAATTCAATGGAGAATTTAGAAATTAAATTAAGAACATGTGAGAATAAATCTGTTCTCAGATACCAAAGATAACAGGAACTCGGCATCCACTCTCTTCTCTCTACTGGGATACTCTTCTTCGGTGTTTGTTTACACTGGTCGAAACAGCGCCACCACTCTCACCCTTTTGTGCAACAGCAGCTGCTCTGGGCATGTGATCTAAGCTCAAATCTGATTGGATGGCCCGTTTCATCATGGAGCGACGGGGAAAAAATCGACACAGGACGAAAAAAATATCCTCTTTTTTTTCACCGCGAATGATCGCGCCTGGCTGCTGTCACAAGACCTATTTCACGGATCCAATGCTGATACTCATGCGTTTTATTTCGCAGCTGTTTACATTAAATTAAGACAAAACCAACAAGGCAAAAAGTGCTTATGAGGATACTCGCGAGGACGACAATTTTGACGTCATTTTGTGTGTATTTGACCACTTAAGCGGAACAAGCTTTAAGCACTTAAGCTCAATAAACTCAATTTGACCGCAGCGCGCATTTTGGATGTGACTGTGAGCGCACAGAAAAGCGCCTCTGGAGCACGCGAGTACCGAATGGCTTAAAAAGACGTGAAAATAATACATTTTTGTGACGATGCAACAATGACCAATTAGGCAAGTGACAATTCTGTCAACTGTACCGAAACACGAGCTAAAGTCTTGTATCGCAGTGTGCAGCAGCTCTAGATGCGCCGATGTGAAGAGAAGGTCAAACAGAGGACGCGGTACAGCTGAATCACTCACGCTGTTTTCAAATGACTGATTTGATCTGATGGTTTGAGTGGATTTATTTACTCCTCTAACACTATATTGAATAAATGTTTTGCAGCAATTTCCCTCATTTTAAAATCGAAAGCTGTGGGAATGAGTAATGCAATATATGCGCAATCCCACACCGAAATTCAAGACCTGATTAAACATTAATACAGATAATTGTGAAATAGATTTCCATGACTTTTCCAAAACTTTCTGGGTTTATTTATTTTTCAAAAAATTCCATGACTGTTCCTGGTTTTTCATGACCGTACGAACCCTGAATGTGACGATCGGGTGCAGGTCGGGTGTGGTTATCTAAATCAGACAAAAATATAGGTGCGGGCAGGTGGCGGGTGCATAATTTATTTGAAGCTGCGGATTCAGGTGATGTTTTAGCTCATCCGTGCATCACTAGAATGCACAATATTAAAATGCTACCCAATACAGATTATTATTGTTTACGTAAATTATAGCCGCTAACTAATACATTGCTGATATTAAATTTCAATACAATTTTGTCTAAATAATATGTGCAATCCTGCATCCAAATTCAGGACCTGATTAAACATAATTCTATTATACAGAGAATTGTGAAATTGATTTCCATTACTTTTCCAAAACGTTCTGGTTTTATTTATTTTCCCAAAACTTTTCCAGGCCTGGAAATTGCTGTTTTAAAATTCCATGACTTTTTTTTTTTACGGTTTTTCATGACCGTACGAACCCTGAATGTGACAATCGGGTGTGGGTCGGGTGCGGTTATCTAAATCAGAGAAAAATATAGGTGCGGGCGGTTGGCACAACTTGGCAGGTGGATAATTTAATTGAAGCTGCTGATTCGGGTGACGTTTTAGCTCATCCGCGCATCACTAATATATATGTATATATACAGAGTTCTGGCATGAAACTCTAGATGGCGCATGTCACAGCAGCATGTTGTGGATGTATTGGCAGTAGCAAGTCTCGGTACTTGCTCTGCCGCAGCAGCAGCAGCGTAGCAGATCTATTCCACCAACTGTTTTCTGGTCAGTTTTTGCAATACATACCTGTGAATGTACTTTTATCTGCTTCTTAGGTGTTAGGTGTTTTATATTGTTAATAAGTGGTTAATCCCATCAAGTTCAGTCAGAAAAATTGGGTTAATCTTTGATAATTAGCTGACTTTAAAAGACCATATTGCTAGGACACAGTACAATCATGCAGATTTGCATTGCACAATATCAGGAAGATGGAAGAAGGCTCTTGTCATTTCTAGACTGGACTATTGCAATGCTCTTCTGGCTGGACTTCCAATATGTATGTCCATACCTCTACAATTGATTCAGAACGCAGCAGCAGAACTAGTCTTCAATGAGCGCAAGAGTGCCCATGTCACTCCTCTGTTTATCTCTCTGTACTGGCTACTGGCTGCGACTCACATCAAGTTCAAGACATTGATGCTTGCATACAGAACAGCCACGGGCTCAACAGCCCCCTATACCACCACTTGATGCCTCTAAGTATCATCACAGAAAGGGACAAAAACACTTTCCAAAACATTCTCATTCACTGTTCCTTACTGGTGGAATGATCATCCCCACCTTATCCAGAACACCAAATCCCTGACAATTTTTCAGTATTCAATATATACCAGAAAACTCATCTCTTCTGTCAGCACTTCCTGCAACCTGCTGGGGAAAAAAAAAAAAACTTCCTATTTGCTTTCACTATTCCTTTTCTCTCACTGCTGAGAGTTTAAGAATGTTTACTTTGGGTAAAACACAGTGCTCACTACTGTCACTTTTTATTCAGCCATCCAATCACAGTGGAAGAGGGGCGGGACAAATACCTCACGACCAACCGCCACATCCTATTTGTACTACGACCGAACAACAACACAGGAGAAGTTAACTTTGCTCATTTCCGAGTATTCATGTCTGTACAAGTTGGAATTCCCAGACTACCATGAATATTGATATTAAAAATAATGCTTGCAACATTATATCTGTGATGCATCTACCACATGACTTCCACAGATATTCCATATCATAACAAAACGTCTCAACTGAAAAAAAATAATGGAAAAAAAAAACGGCTGTATTTATTAGACTTCTATTGTACTATTGAATGTCAACAGCTATTCACTCCCATTAAAAAGCTTAGAAGAGCCAGGACTTTTTTTTTTAATATAACTCTGATTGTATTCATCTGAAAGAAGAATGTCATGTACACCTAGAATGGCTTGAGGGTGAGTAAATAATAGGGTAATTTTTGGGTAAACTATCCCTGTAATGCCTTCCTGTTCTAGCTGTAATGTTCTAAAAAATGTCTGAAACTTTGTATTACTCACAATATTACTGTTATCTCTTTAAGATTGATTGATTGTATTCCATATTTGTAAATCACTTTGTAAGCCAATTTGTAAGTCTGCTAAATGGATAAATGTTAGGATTACGGTGGGGGTGAGGTTAGGCTAGGTTAAGTTTACAAATGCATGCAAATAATTTAACAGAATTTCAACTCCAGTCAGTGTTTGCATTTCTGACTTGAATGTGGCATTAGATTGTGTATTATTCAATTATGAGTTCTAGGCTTGTACACTCATCGCCACTGACTGTCGATTTGTGGCCAGCAGGTGTTTCGAGTATCTGAAAGCAGTTTTATTTTGAGGAGTGAGTGAGTGTATTATCTGTGGTTAGGATGCATAACGACAATTAGAAAACAATAAGAGACAAGATAAGGGAATCTAAAGTAGGATGTAGCTTTTCTAACAAATACTAATCAACTTTAAGTCATCTTTGGAGTCTGTTTAAGGATCTGTAAACGGAGGCAACTCGCAATAAAAGGACAATTATGAGACAAAATGAACACACGCACTTGTTAATTTGCCATATTCATATCCATAAATAAATGTGACCCATTCGTGAAATCATTTTAGAGAGGGCGACGCTTCAGTTTTGATTACCTTATTCATAATGTCCTGCTTGAATGATCTCAGTCTTCATTAGGCAGGGAGACAGCAGCTTACTTAACGATAATGACGGCGCACAAAAGCGCAGCTCAATCAGGAGTTTGCTCCTGTCAGAGGAGGCGGCGTCGTAACTTCCACAGCTGAAGGGGTTTAACCAGCTGCCTCAGGTGTAACAGCAATGGGATCTTCAACTCCTGCCCTCCCAGCGGAATACATCAACTCTGGGAGACAATCAGCCGTTCATACAGCCGCCTCTCATTACATAGCCCAGTGCGTACGGTTAAAACGAGGCACGTGTCAAATGCAAATGGACCGAATTTGAGTGCCAGGAAGTTTGCATGATCTTGGGACAGCTGGTTTATGGATACGGGATTATGGCATCTTGTGGTCCTCTAGAAATTGGGAGAACAAAAAAAAAAAACAATAACACAGCTGTATGATGCCAAAAGGGTGGAAACAGTTATTATAGATTACAGACTGTCAGAGAGAGAGAGAGAGGCTTAATTATAATCCAGATTATAAATAATATTGGTAAAAATTATGTTGTGGTTGTTGCTGCTGTTGTAATAGCATGAAATAAGCACCATATATTGATAGCATTTTAATAAAACTGTTAACGTTACGGCAGTGGGGAATATGAACATGCATGAGTTATTTAATTTAATCTGTGTTATTTTAATGTTTAGTTTTTTTTTACCGAAAACATAGAGACACTGATGTTGATGTGTCTGCATTCAAGCATTTCAGTGGGCTTAAATAGATCACCCTTTGCGGCAGATTTAGTTCACAAACAACTGACAGTTTTGACGTAAATATGATTTTCAGTTACAATAATTAATCCTAAAATTCGACATTAGTAACTTACTTTTAGCAGCATCAGTCGCGCGCACGCTCACAAGATCTCCCGGTTCTTACTTGTGAATTCAGTTCACTGGAGACTCGTACTGCGTCTGCTAACGATGCTATGGGAACACAGTACAATCACGCCATGCTAACGTAGAGGAACGACTATATAAGTATTATAACTTCCATAAGCAAGTAATGCCCATAGGGAAGTTAACAACAACCCAAGGCTAAAACGGGCTGAACTCCCTGAGGTCACGCCCGGCCTGGTTAATAGTTCTAGAGTACTCATGCAACTTCGGCACCCCAGGGGTCGAGAGCTGACAAGTAAACTAATACCACAGAGCTTGAGCGCAATAAGGTCAAGGGCTCTCTGTCAGACTTGTTTGCATAACGTAGCGCATGTCTCTTCAAGCAGAAAGGACCCTGGCCTGTAAGGCTGGGACTTCCAGGTTATAAAACCTAGCAAATATGGACGGCGAGGCCCAGCCGGCCGCCTCACAAATTTCCGCAATGGACACACCACTGGACCATGCCCAAAACGAGGCGATGCCTCTGGTAGAATGGGCCCGTACTCCGATGGGAAATTGTAGGCCCAAGGAAGAGTACGCTAGCGTGATAGCATCTATTGTCCATCTAGAGAGTCTTTGCTTCATGACCGGATGCCCTTTGGTGCGGTTACCGAAGCTAACAAAGAGTTGTTCCGACTGTCTGAAGGGGATGGAAAGCTCAATGTAAATTCTTAGAGCTCTGATGGGGCAGAGCAGGGATAACTCTCTGTCCTCTTCAGAGGGAGGAAGTGCAGAGAGTGCAATGACCTGTGCTCTGAATGGAGTGGAGAGCACCTTGGGTACGTAACCATGCCTTGGCTTCAGGATGACCTTAGAGTCGTTAGGCCCAAATTCCAGGCAGGCAGGGCTAATGGAAAGTGCCTGCAGGTCTCCTATTCGCTTTACCAATGCTAGTGTCAGAAGCAGAGCAGTCTTCAGCGACAGTGACCGAAGATTGGTAGACTGTAGCGGCTCAAAAGGGGGCCCTTCAGGGCCCTCAGCACAGTGGGCAGTTCCCATGAAGGGACAGTGAGGGGGCGAGGCAGATTCAGCCTCCTGGCACTCCTCAAGAAGCGGACAAACACGCTGTTCCTGCCCACCGATTGGCCCGCAATAGGGGCATGAGAGGCCGCTATAGCTGCTACATAAACCTTGAGAGTGGAAGGGGAGCGTTCCTTATCCAGCAGCTCTTGCAGTAATGACAACACCACTGACAGATCGGAAGTAGAAGGGCAAACACTCTTGGGGCGGGGTCGCTGGCGCTTAGGAAGGGGGTAGCGTCTGGCCGAGTGGGAGCGCCCTCGTGTCTGCTGAGTCTTAGCAGGCTGATCGGCGGGGGCGGCAGGTGCTGGCTTCGCGGGCTGCTGAGTCGGCGTAGACTTAGGGTGACTAGAGGCAACAGCGGAGTTGGAGCGCTTTGGCAGGAAATGTCGCATAGCTTGGGACGATTTCTGTGCCTCCGTGAAGCGCTTGGCGAATCTTTCGACCGTCGGTCCGAAGAGGCCTTTGGGGGAGATCGGAGCGTCAAGGAAGGGGACCTTATCCGCGTCCTTGATTTCCATTAGCGTCAGCCATAAATGGCGCTTGAGCACCACAAGGCTGGCCATAGACCTCCCGATCACCTGAGCGGTGGTCTTGGTGGCTCGCAGAGCCAGGTCAGTTGCACTCCTCAGCTGCCTGAGGGTCGCGGGATCCCGGCCAGACTCGTCCGTGGAGGCGAGGATCTTGGCCTGAAAGACCTGGAGGACCACCATTGAATGTAGCGCTGAAGCCGCCTGTCCAGCAGAAGAGTAGGCGCGTCCAGCGAGAGCTGAAGTGGTCCTACATGGCTTGGACGGTTGGGCGGCCTTTGCCTTCCAGCCGATAGCCGTGGGCGGGCAGAGGTGCACGGCCACTGACTTGTCCAGGGGAGGTAGCTTGTCATACCCCTTTTCTTCAGCGCCGTCGATAGAGGTGAGAGCGGATGAAGCAGAAGTACGGAGGGGGGCGGAATAGGGAGCACGCCATGATCTGGTGAGTTCGTCGTGGACCTCTGGGAAGAATGGAGAGGAACACTGACGAGGGGCCTGACGGCGCCCCGGCAGGAACCACTCATCCAGACGGCTGCGAGAGGGCTCCTCCGGTGGAGACCACTCTAAACCCAGCTCTTCGACCGCTTTCGAGAGGATACGGAGAAGCTTGGCATCCATCCCGTCTTTGGCGGTGCTGGGCGTGGACGACGGCAAGGCGGTGGGGTCGGTAACCGAGCCCAACAGCTCCTCTGCATCCGAGGCTGTCAATGACATGCTGTCATCGGGCAGCTCGTCCTCACTACCGCCAAACGAGACCAGATCGCTCGCGCCGGCAGAGGGACACTGGTCAGACTGGGAGAAGAGGATGGGTGAACTCTCTTTCTGAGGCGAGGGCGAGGCGCGCGGGATCTGGGCCGACGTGAGCTCGCTTGCAGCCGGACACTTGAGTCCTCTGCCCTGCTGTTTTTTCCTCACAGGTCCCTGGGAGGAAGAAAAGGGGAGGGCGCGAGGGGCGGAGTCGCTCTGTGAAAAGAAAGTGATCCGCGAGCGTAGAGAGGTGAGACTGAAGTTCTCACAGTGAGAACAATCAGTTCCCGTGAGCACAGCTTCCGTGTGGGATTTCCCCAAGCAGGAAAGCACTCTGTGTGGCCATCATCGGCGTGCAGGGGAGACCCGCACGAACCGCAGTAACGGCGTGGCATTTGCAACAATGCCAAGCTCTTTTAGTAAGCTCTTTTAGAATCGCCAGATGGCGGCAGGGGAAATGGTCCAGAACTGCTGCGTTGCTGAGGCGGCGGAGAAGCAGTTCAGCCGAGCAGAGAGGTCCCAATCCAGCTGCGAGGTGTGTTAACGGCGAGCAGGCTTCAGAATCAGCATAGAGCATAGTCGTCGCTGAAAAAGAAGAAATCTGAGAATCCTGTGGTGAACGCACGCTTATATAGCCAGATGACCCCACCCATTCTGGCGGGCTTTGTCGCCATAGGTTTGTGCAGCTCCACTGCCGAGCCATTGGTTCGTTTTATATAGACTGCACAAACCAATGTCCGTGCAGATTGAAAAAGGCTTCAGTTCAGGAGAAAAAAGCATTTTCCCATAGCGTCTTTAGCAGACGCAGTACGAGTGAAGTATCGATAGGGAACGTAAAGTATACACATACATTTTTGTACATTTAGACAATTAAATGTATGAGATCACCATGTTTTGACATCTGAAACATGAATCTATTTACATTCAGTACACTTTGTGAATCCTCTGAAAATGGTCTCAACTGGAATTACTGGAATCTTGTGTCCAAACCTCAGGCACAATCCCATTCTTTTACATTTACATTTTAAACAGTGTTACAGCATATATTTCAGTGCCTATTCAATTGTACTAAAATGTATGTGTGCTAAATACCTATAAATATCAATGAGAACACATTGTGTTTTCAAACTGTCATATACTTTAATGAAGGATAATTAAAATGCTGTTAGCTATCATGTGCAAATGCTCCAGGGGGGACAGATATCAAGAACTCTGTTAATTATTGAGAAGCGAGAGTAAATGTTATCAGAGGTTAGCGTGTGACACCATTACTGCTAAGTGTTCTTAATTGACAAACGTAACCTAAAATAGGCTAAAAATACTAATTGATTTAAAAAGGCAGGTTTTGTGTCCATCCATTTCTGTATCTCCATCCTTAATTATTTCATTTCCTTCTTTTTATTTAGAAAAACCAGCCATCTGGCCGCAAGCGTTCCTGGCAGTAACTAATTCTGGCAAATATTCTGTCATTTATTGCTATCATGACATGCCATAAAAAATTATTCTCTCATTAATAACGTATTTATGGGCTGAAGAGGAACAAGTGAAAATGTGTATCTTTCACTCAAATGAAAGAGTGCAGCAGGAGGGCGAGAGTTAGAGACAATCTAATTACGGCAAATCCACCTCAGATATACTCCAAATCATTGTTATGGTGCTAATAAGCTGTCAGAGGTGTCAACATAACTGTTATTGGCTAGACTTTTCAAAATAATGGGTTTCCTACCTGAACTTTTCTAAAATAAATATGTCATTTTGTATAATCTAAAAATGTTTTCAAATGGTTTCAAATTAACACTCCTCCCATCTGCTATTGGTCAGGCAAACAGATAGTCCCGCCCCAAACTCACACCATTGGTTGAGCTGTGCTGGAATGCATAAAAGCGTGGCAGCTTGTTTCTGCCATATGATAAAAAAAAAAACTAAAAAAGGTAATTGCAACACTAATTCTGGCAAATATTCTGTCATTTATTGCTATCATGACATGCCATAAAAAATTATT